CGACTTAGTGTTTTTAAAAAATACGTGGAGGATCTTCCACCTATCCAAGGTTTACTTAACATTTTGCTTTTTGAAAAACTGGCCTCCTTGGTTTTAGCTTGAGGCAGCAATATTCCACAAAATCTCAACTATCAGCCTCTGCTCGGTGCCACCATATTTGAATGCAAGTCCCGTTTGTTCAAGGCACCGAACAGCCGCCGGGCTGCTGTGGTTTTGGCACTGGCCGCCAGAAACCTGAGTTAAGGGTCAGGGTCTCTGGAGCACACAGGGACTGGAGGGAAAATGAAGGGTGAGACTGCCAAGGGGGAGCAGGCAAAGCGGGCATGGTGGTCTGGTAGCCCCCAGCTCTGCTCCTCTCTCCCTCCAGAGAACGTCACAGGTTTTAAAGCCCTGGTGCAAAATGTCACTCCATAAACATGAAGGGCTGAACCTTAGAATCACAGAATGGTTCGGGTTGGAAGGGACCCTAAAGCTCATCTAGTTCCAAACCCCCTGCCCCGGGCAGGGCCCCCTTCCCCCAGGCCAGGGGGCTCCCAGCCCCGTCCAACCTGGCCTGGAACCCTTCCAGGGAGGGGGCAGCCACAGCTGCTCTGGGCACCCTGGGCCAGCGCCTCATCACCCTCATAATAAACCATTTCTTCCTTAAACCTAGTCTGAATCTACCCTCCTTTAGTTTAAAACCTCTCCCTTGTCCTATCACTACAGGCTCTATTAAAAAGTCTGTCCCCCCTTCACCCATTGCAAACCTTAGACAGGCTGAAACAGCACCTTCAAGGGAAAGCACACCAGGATCAGTTGCCATAGCTCACGTTTAAAGGCTTCTGCTCACATCAGCCAGGTACGAGCTGTTTGCTGGCCGTAAATCTCCCGTTACAGCCTCCTCTGCCATACAGCACACATGGATTAATAGCAGCTTTCTACTTTTTAGTTTACAGCTGATCCGAAAGTCCCCAGAAGAAAGGGAGAGTTTCCTAAGTAGCATGACTGACAAGACTGTGAAGAGGGAGTTTATTCAGAGCATTATCTAATTCATTCCCCGGCGAAGGAAACTCATCTACTTTTGAGACTTAAAACTTCTAAAGAAAACTGCTATGATCTAAAGAGATTGGCCATAAAACTATTTGTATTGAAAACTTAGCCAGCATGCCTTTAGTGAACTTCATTCATTAACATTCTTCCTGGCAAGGTTTCCATATCTCAGCGTTCATTTTATACTTTAATTTGGTTAGTAGGTCTTTGTTTAATCGTCCTATTGAAAGGAGAACAAAGAAGGTTTAGGTGATACAGTGAAGTAATACACTATATTTTATCTCTGGAAAGCCCAGACAAAGTCAGCAGGCTCTGATACCCTCCAGTTCGGGGTTTTTTATTCCCTTTCTCTTCCAGGACATTTGGAATCACAAATCAGTTGCAGAGCATAAAGATCCTCACTGTACTTAGCTCCGGACACCTTCAGAAGAGAAACACCTTGTCAAGCAGAGAAATGATGCTTTGAGCACAACATACAGCCCCGAAGGAAGATTATCTCAGGAAAAGTGCATCCCCATTACTCCGTGGATGGATGCTCTGCATTCATATCTCTGTCCTCCAATACAAATCAGTAGTCAAGATAGTTTCTCCTACTTCTGAGCTTTGTGCTTACCATCTTGATATTAATGGCATAGATTTTTCTGGGTGCAAAACTCATTAAGAAGTTGCAGTTTGGCCTAATGACTAACACGCTTTGCAGCGAGCACCCAGCACTGCCGTTTTCTCCAGCGACCTGCGGGCACAGGCTGCCCTACAGGAGGATTTACAGGATAAAAAAACCTGCCTCATTTCACAATCAACGGAGCTGCTCCCCGGCCCCGACATCGGCCGCGCGAGCAGGCAGCTCCTGGGCTGGTGTAAACTGACACAGCTCCAACTGACTCCCAACTGACTCCAGATAATAATCTGGCCCCAGAGTAAAGGCAGGATTCAACAAGTTTTTCTCACGGAATAGCTTTTACGCTCTTTTCTTGAATATTTGCTACCAATACTCACTGTACTGCTTAAATCCACCATGTATGGCGCATCAGTAAAGGGGGGAAAATTGTAGCTGTCTTCTCTTTCTACCGTGGGTAGATGGTGAGTTGTCTTCTTCTCACTGAAAACCCTTTAATTTTTTTAACTTTCTAAACCTTTAACCAGTTTTACTCCAACTACCCATGGGAACAGATGTTTTCCAGAGGCAGTGCTCACGACAGACTTTCCTCTTGGATGAAGCTGCCCTCTGAGGCAGGAAAACCATTCGGTGATGCTCTCCCATGACATCCAACGAGCAAACCAACCTGCCACCCACCCACCGTGGCCCCTTCCACAGACAGGGGCGCCCAAAGCCCAAATCACAAAAGGATTCAAAGGAATACAAACGCCCAACCATAAAGTCAAACAGAGGATCAAGGGAGCAGCCCTATAACTGGCAGAGGTTATGGAGAAGAAACACAACCCGTGAAGTTAGAGCAGCAAATATAAACATCTGGGGAAGCAGCTGGGCTTGCTCGGCGTTGGGTGGTAAGAGGGGCTGTTAGGAAGGTCCATGCCACATGGCTGCTCAGGGGGTAACTATTTTTGGAAGCTGATTATTCTTTTATACCACCAATTCTTGAAACACACCAGCGTAAGTGAAAGGGGAGGCAGGCTCTGCACGGCTACGGACCCAGGCTGGCTTCAAACCGATGACCCGGAGGTGAAGGGCCCCTTCTCCCGTTACTAATCCTGTCAGCCACACAAGCCTCCTGAAAATGATGCTTTGGTTTTATTGCCACAGGGGTCATTTATAAAATCATAAAACCCAGGGTAGGAAACCAACCCGGCGGCAGCAATGCACAAGCATGCATAGAAATAGCGGAACGGCCGTCAAAACAGCAAAGTTCAGCCCTCCCATGGTACCCTGAATAATTTAGTTGATTAAATGTGAGAAGTTCTGATTAACGGAGGGGAGGAGGAAATGGATAAACAACTTACCAAAAGCTAGTTCTTTATTATCGCAACCAGAAATGACCAAAGACTGTGTAGTATGTATGTCTGTGCATTACACATGGAAAAAAAAAAAAACAAACAAGAATCAGGTTTGCAACATCCAACAATTCAAAATAAAATAAAAAAATCAAACCCATGAACTTTCTTCACTGGTAATTAGCAGGGACAGAATATAAATGAGGTGGCATTGAACAAAGAAGGTAACAGTGCACTTTTAATAAACCAATTTCATCCATATCTCCACTGATTTTCAATTTAACAGTTCTATCAGCAAAGCCTCATTTCGCTAACTAGACTGGTACTTTTAAAAACATGACTAATTCATTCTCATTAATATCAATTTGGATGCATTTAAAAAATAACTCTTAATATCTGTGCAACAGGTTAAAGGGCCATATTCTCAAACATCAAATGTTTCTCACTGTATGGTTTAAAGCAGAAATATCTCCAAATTAACCAATGAAGTCTTCAATTGCTTCAGGAAACACAAGGTATACATTTTTTTCCAGATTCAGTCTTACAATAGCTCTGAGACTCATTGCACTACAATATCTAATACTTTTTCTTTTGTGCAATTTCCCCCCTCATTTTTGACGGGGAATACAACTCGTATTCACTTTATTGGTCTTTCCAAGGGGATACACAAAGCAGAGTTAACGCACCTTCTGGCTTCGACGCTATTCCGCATCTCCTTCATCTAAACAGGAGCCTGATCGTTTTGGCAAACTCACTACCACTTGTTACAAAAAAAAAAAAAAAAAAAAAAAAAAAAAAAAAAAAAGCAAAAAAGCTCAGTTGCAGCTACAGATTAACACACTGTTGCTACCATTAAAAGTGCAGAGCCCCCTGGCCTAAGCTCTCAATTCAGACGGCATTTAAGCACATGTATAACCAAGTGTGGGAACAGGCTCCTTGAAGGCAATAGGATTACTCACTCCTTAAGAAGTTACCACATGTTTAAGTATCTGAATCGAGGCCTAATTATGGTGCTGGCCGACTCCTCGTGCACGCACCACTGGGGCAGATCTCGCCAATCCCTTAAAGCCATAAGGACAGGCGTATGTCGCGCGGGCTTTTAATAGCTGCTAGGTTTGTATTCTCAGGCAAACGAAAATAAAAAACCTGAAGCCCTAAAACATAATTAAAACAAAAAGTACTTTATAAATATCGGGTATTTACACGTGTGAAAATCTTTTAATGGGAAGTGTTTTTACACACCAATGAAATGTACAAGCAATGAAAAGGTACATTGACAAAGACTAAAAAACAAAAACCAAAGTATAAAATATATTACAGGTCCACCAAAATAAATTCACACGGAAGAAAAAAATCGACACAATAGAAACTTTTTTTTCTTAAAAATAGAAGATATATCACAAAAGCTTGAATGTGTTTATTTTATGTTAGTACTAAAAATCAAGGAAAAAAGCTTCATATATTCTCGTCACAAAAATATTTACCAGCCACTTTTTATTTCCACATTATGATTATCTGGCTCAGCAGGAGTAGAGGCTGAACTGTACCCAGACTACAGAAATCATTCAGAAGGTCTCCTCAGTTTACAACTTACTGCAATTTACATTTTCTCCTCCTCCCGGCGCCTTACTGCAAAGGTCCAAGAGGGATTAATAACAAATCGAGAAAGAATAGGACAGATATCTGTATTTACAACATTCATCTTTGTTGCTGCCGAGCCACAGGAGCGGTACCATGAACCACCGAAGCCTTCACAGCGCTCTGTGCAAATTCCCCTCGGTAGGTGACAGGCAGCATCGGGATGTTCCAAAATCCAACCCCCCGGGCTTGGGCGCTCCGCGACACGCAACGGCCCCTGGCAGGGAGCATCCCCTCGCCCCCGGTCCCCTCCAGAGCCGCAGCCCCAGCAGCCGGTGATGAGGGTGAGACGCGAGCGGGCCGGCTCCCCCCTGCCCCCCCCCCCCCCCCCCCCCCCCCCCAAAACCGAGCCAGGGCAGAAGGTGCCGTGGTGACCGCGCGACTTCAGTCCGCTGCGAAAGTCTTCAGTGTGCCCTGTGCTTCCTCTTCTTGTGTTTTTTATCCTTCTTTTTGTTGGCACACTTGGAGCAGAACCATTGTATCTCTTCTGGGGGTGCAGTCGTAATCCCAACGCAAGGCCTGTGAAGGACAGGAAAATATCCTGTCACCTCAGTGGAATAACATTACTTTTGTTTCGTACCCAAAGAAAGGAAACTTTTCAGTGGGAGACAGGATCTGGCCTTCAAATTACTATAGCGATTATATTATCATTATCTTAATGAATGTAACGATCAAACAGAAGCCTAAAAAACACCTGCTTTGAAACAAAACAAAACAAAACAAAAAATCGAAAGAACACTTGGATAAGAAATGTTATTTTAACAGAAAATGTGAGTGCTCTTTCAGGTATAATAGGCTAGATTTAAAATAATTTCAAATGCTCCCTCAACACATCTGCAAAAAACCTTACAATTTTATGTAGCTGTTTAAGAAGAGGCCTAAAAAGTGATTAATTTCCTCCAACCCTTTTATAAGAGCTGACATTTATATTACTGTTCATACAATGCTTCATAATTTGAAATGTCTATCTGTATACACTATGCTCATAATCCTGTAGTTCTCACAAAATTACCGGTATCAGCAATATTTCCCAGCAGTTTCAAAAACAACTGTTATCACCAGTGCCCATTAATTAAAAAGTAACTCTCCTTCACAGCTTAAAATTTGCTTTTTCAAATTCCAGAGAAAGAGAGATAAAAATATCTTCCAGATTATTAAATTGGACATAGGAAAGTCATTCAAATATTCCCAGCATCAGGAACCTTAAAAAAAAAAAAAGGGTTTTAATAATAATATAGCCTCAATCTGCCAGGGAAGAGCAGAATAGGATGGATGAGAGGAACTTACCAGTGATACCAATCATCACAGTCATCACAACCTATCATTGGACTGCCATCATCTGGCTTGTTACAGCCAGGACAGATCCAGATCTGGTTACCCCACTCGTCTCGGATCTGGTGCAAAGAAAAGGAAAGTTAGCTGGATTTCAGGGCTAAGCAGGCAGCAAAATTGACATTAAAAAAAAAAAAAAAAGTTTATTGCTTATTCGACAAAGCTATTCAGTGGTCACTGTTGTTATTTAGGAATTCTCCAATTGTTGTTATTTATGAATTCTCCGTAAGTGCTCAGCGTTATGTTTAATTGATTTTCCTATACTGTACATGACAACAAAAGCATGCATTTTTCTGTATTGTCCTGTAAACCAGTAAAGCCAGTTACACCACCCGACCTAAGCACAGGCATTCACATATAGCAGCCAGGGCTTAAGGACACAATTCCTTCTCTGTCTATACTATCTCGACTTTTTAAATTCTACCCTGTTAATGGCAAGAACAAGCAACGGCAGCCTCCTGCGTAAGATAACAGTCCTATATGCATGTAAAATATACAGTGCCATGTGTATATATTGCCGTATTACTTATTAGCCAAAGTCTTCAACTTCAACTAGCTGATAAGATCAGGATATAAAAAAAGTTGTTACTGAGTAACTTTCCATTCCCCTTATGACATTTATGTCACAGTACAATTTACTAAAGGGTAAATGAAACAAGAAAGGCAGATCATTTACAGCATTAGGCAGCTGCTTACTGGATTTATCATATTCAGAGTTTTATGATTTTTTTAATGCTTATATCATGCTAGACCCATTATTTGTATTTTTTAATTTCAAGTGGTTTCTTTAACAGTTCTTTGGTAAAAACATACATGCAAAATGTCATGAAGTCCACCCAAAGAAGTACAAGTAACAATACAAATACAAAATGTCTGGAGTTTTACCCTGATTTCATCATTTCTTTATGAAGATTTGCATGTTATCACTGAATCTCAAAAACATAAACTGTTTTGTTCTCTGTTTTTGTGCATTTACATGTATCTAAGGCAATATCATTTTGCTATCTGTACAGCTTACAAAAACTATATTAAAAATTAGTAGATGAAAAGCCTCAAATACTCTTAGGAAAAAAACCCAAACCCCTATACAGTGGTCTGTACATCTTACACCACTTCCTGAAAAAACAATATGAACGTACCAGAGCTGCAACCAACACATCTTGACTGACTCCTCTTAAAGCCCTGAAATTTTTTGTAGCTTAAAACTAGAAAATATGAAGCCCAGGAATATTCAGCAGGGAACAATTCCCAACAGCAATATGGAGTAGGCGACGTCATAAAATGAACTTGAGTTTAAAGCTGATTGATTGCAATAATCATTCCTATCTAAGCATCTGATCTCACATCTGCAAAGTCATTTTAAGTCGGTCGAGAAGCATCTGCTCCGCAGGTAAACTGTCTGTGCCCAGCGTGAAAAGGTCCGCAGTCATTTGGAAGTGCTCAAGGGCAGGTTGGACGGGGCTCTGAGCAACTTGGGATAGTGGAAGGTGTCCCTGCCTGTGGCAGAGGGGTTGGAACTAGGTGAGCTTTAAGGTCCTTTCCAACCCGAACCATTCTGTGATTTCTGTGGGGTTATCCTGCTGGGGCAGGAGACGCCGTGCCATGGTGCTGAACGGAGGCAGTGCTGCGGGCTGTCGGGCTGACAGCTACAGCCCTTTAGAACCTGCTTGAGCGATCCAGCTGCACCAGCACCGTCCTCCAGCACCAGCACCAGCACCGGCACCAGCACCAGCACCAGCACCAGCACCAGCACCAGCACCAGCACCAGCACCAGCACTCGCCCCATCCACGGTGCTGCCTGGTTTGGGCACTGGCGGTGCTGGGTGTAGGCAGCGCTGCCTGATGTTGCCCCATTAGAAGATAGATACCTTATCTTTCCCAAACTTAGTTTTTCAGGGGGGATGCTTTTGTCTGCAGAACACCCATCTCAGGCTTTTGGAGGCTGGAGAAGGGCAGGGTGGTCTGTAATCATGGAAACCTCTGCTTGTTTGCTAAACAAGATCTTGGGTTGCTGAATGAGGATGTTAAAAATATTGCGTAACTTCTCACTCCTTAATGAGCCAAGCGTCATGGAACGAGGAACAGTACGTGATTGCTGAATGCTATTTTAGTACAAACCGCTGAGAGTTAATGATCAGAGCACACTTACTGAGATGCTATCCTACAGGGACATCCCACATCCTATGGGGTTTTTTTGTAAACTATAAAATCATCCCCCTGTCCTCCCCTGCAGAAGGGAGTTGCGCACCTCTGTCACACTGGCTCCAATCTTATCTCTAGAAGAGCTTTCCCTTGAGACCTGGGGAAAGCCATTTCATCATTCTGTGTCCTGGATTCCCTTCATACAAGAGGCTAATAGTTATTAATTATTCTCTTCTTCCCCAACCACTCTCTCAGCTTTTTGACTAACAAATGTTTCACATCAGGAGTCTCTCTGCCTGTTGGATCCTAATGCAGTAAAGCCCTGGTTTCCACTATAATGTTGTAAAAGAAAGAAAGAACCTGGAGCCTACACGTCCTCTCATTTCTCCATAAGGTGCTAAGAGTATTACCACTAGAAATACCTAGGGAACTTCAACATAATTTCTAAATTATCTGCTTTTAACGCTTACAGAAGAAAATGGGGTGTAGAACAGTATTTTGGAAATGTTTCTCTCTCAGAGTTAATTTTCAAGCTTCTGGGCACTACTGGAATACGTGACATTGCACTTACACCTGTGATACAGAAGGTGAGGATGTGTATCCTGCACCCTAAAGATACGCATAGCCTATGTGAGGTCATCTAGTGCTGTAACTAACTCGGGAGTGAAATGTAGCAGCTGTTTAAATAGAGACCAGTAACACGATACAACAGTTTAAGTCCAGCAGGGAAGAGCACCTTTTCCATTAGAAACAGCAGGGTAGATTTACACTAGGAAACATTATAAAACCAGGAATAAAAAAAAAAAAAAAAAAAAAAAAAAAAAAAGAGAGAGAGAAAAATCATGCATACGTTGCAATTAAAGCACAGGAAACGCAGTAATAAAAGCAAGTTTTAGGTGTTTTAAAAGGTGAGACTTTTAAATTGCTACTCACTGCAGATAAGCAAGGTGTTACCAACCAAACTGGAACTTAGCCAGGACAGGGAGGATAACAACACTGCTACTGCTGTTAATGGTATCTGCTGCTCTTCAATGATCAGAAACGGTCAGGACTTCTACTCTGCACTGCATCTAAAGCAGAAATTTTCAGTGGTGCAGCAGTGCTAGACCTACCCAGAGGTACGCCTATGTTCTTTTAGAGAATGTAGTTCCTACACCGTGTTAGATGGGAGACTTTTCTAAAAGAGTGAAGAAGTCTTAATGTGAACAGACAGAGGCCAAGTTCACAGCATATGTCAAACAGACTAAGGAACTGTAGATTAATGAACTATCTACAGACTTCCTGAGATGCACAAACATTTGCAATTTCTGTATGTTGAGAAACCCAGAAAAGAGATTAGTGGACTCCACACATTTCAAATGAGGGCTAAGTCAAATTCTTGATGTTGTATGAGGGTTTTTGTACTTTACTTGACTGACAGCAAAATCTATGGTGAGTTTGACATTTGAGGTTTTAATTCAGCACTTATGAAAGCATCTATAAAAAAATCTCTACCTCCAAAAATAAATGTGCTAGCTCAGTTAGCAGAAAATACCAAGTGGGATATAACTGGACTTGTTAGAAGAAACTTAAACACCAAACTTGGAAAGAAGAAAAAATTCAGTCCAAGTAGTAGTGTTTTAATTACATTATTAACCCCTCAAAACACGTGCATGGAAGCTAGGGCTGGATAAAGAGTAGCTTAATAGAGAGCAACATCAAAAGTCCAGGTACCGTCAGTTTGAGATGATGAGTCACCCAGGAGCTCAACAATTCAAGAGGTGAACGTCACTGGCACTGGGACAGAACACGGCAGTGTGTGTCACTTACCACGTAAGTACTGACGGTCTCGGTCACCACGCTCCTAACCGGAGCTTTGGAGCCTCCTGCTGCCGAGACGGCTGGAGAGGGTGGTGGGATCAGGACCGGCGAGACTGTAGCCTGTGGAGGAGGAGGAGCTGGAGCTGGAGGAGGGGTGACATGAACGGGAGCTGGTACCGGTGACGGCACAGGCGGAGGTGTTTTGGGCCGGCTCACAGGGGTGGCAGGTTTGGCTTCTGGAGCTGGCACCACTTTGCTGATGACTCTGTAGGACCGAAAATGAGAATTGTTAAGAGTTGATGGGAAAGAAAGCAATGATCGATCACCTACTAGATATAAAGAAAATATAGTGCAGCTAATTCTCATCACCTTTGAGTCGGCAAACAGGCAGTTTCAACCCAACGCAAGGACTGCTGCCATTGCTACACCCACCCATCGGATGGGATAAAGCACAGAGCCATTACAAAGTGAACGCCAGGATGGCCTGAACCACTCCATAGCTCACTGTCATATAAATATTCTCTGTGGCTTTACTAAACCTTGTTTTGTTAAGTTTTATTACATTAGCTCCATTTGTGGGAAATATTAGAAAGGAGGGTTAATCAGCTGTGAACAGCACTGATTTTAATCTTCATACTGAGAGACGGTATCATCCTCTTAAGATCCTACATTAGGGGGTTCTCCAAATATTTGCTAGTTTGGTATTTCTTTCCCCAAATGTTTATGAAATCAGCAGTGGATCTAGTCAGGACAAATAAATGACGCATACTATATACTCAGCAGTTAAAATATTGCTACTTTCTCGAGTAGCTGAAGTAGACAGGATGTAGCTCTAGTAAATACACAGTATAGAATAATCATGCCCACGAAGGGGGATACATAGAGCACCCAATGTTTATTAATGACTGTTGATACACAGTGCTATTGATGTGCATGCAATTTAATGGACAAGACACAAAAAGCCCTTACTATAAGGCTCCAGATTAGAAACATAAAGAGAAGGAAAAGGATGTTTTAGGAAACAAGAAAACCCCGAATCTCAAACAAAACACAGGATAGGTCTATTTGTTTTACCACATTTTGGTAAATCATTTAACTAATTTATCTTTGAATGGTAACTGTGGGAGTGCAATTGATTTGACAGGACTGTAGGAGGAAGGCGATTTAAAGAAAGGTTAGACATTCCAGAGAGAAGGGTATCTTAAGAAAGCAAAAAATGGGGACATCAGTAGGAAAACCATGATGAAAATCATATTCCAACAACTCCTGAGAGCCAGGAAAGTCCAGATCCACTGCCAACAGGAATTTCACATTCAATTGTAGAGTTTACTGCAACTCTCTTACGATATTCAAGAGGCAGTATCACTACGATCGGAGGCACTGTCTGCATTTCAAGTCAATAATCCAAGCCATCATTTGAGAAAGGCTTGGAATTATACAGTCTTTAATGCTTGGCTGAGATAATAGTGTTTCTCTCCCAAGATATGCCACTTGCACTACTAAATGAGAACTACGGCAAGTTATAGAAAATACAGACTTAGTAAAAGAAAACAGAGCAATGGGTTTGGTATTCCAGCCTAACCTGCCAACTGAAGCATAATACCTATCTTTTGAGATCTACCATGAGTGACTAGGGGAAGAAAACAAAAACCCAAGGAAGTTTAGAAACTTAGAGTGGAGCAGAATCTAAAGTTTTAGATGCTTTTCCATCAGCAACACTGAAGACATTCACACTGCTTCATGTCCCCGTGATTGCTTCAGGTACCTAGTCTGGGAGGTCAGGCTGTTTATATGTGTCAGTAAGGTGCTGGACTGTGAGTCAAAGTATAGGACTCCTAATTTATGTTGTTTGTGACTTCCAGAAGGAAGGAAGTCCTATTATCAGGCCAGCCTGGAAGCAACCTACACATCAAATCCAGCCTCCTTCTCCTGTTAGTGGGGTACAACCGAAAACCCACTGTTACCTCCCACCAAGAAAGTTTTCTCTTTGGCTTTTGAATGTCCGTGATGTGTGTCTGCTTCCATGAAAGTCTTGGTGTGTGGCTCTTTGGGGCTCCTGCCAGACTGGCCACCGCAACTCAGATGCTTCTTCTGTGCCTTCCTCCTTCCACTGCTCCCACAGAGAGCCCTGGCTCCCAATGCCGAACACCTAAGACCTTGGTTGGTGGCAATACTCCCATGGTTTGCAAAGTCACCCTCATGACTTGAGAGCCACCTCTTAATAAAAAAAAATCTTGGCAATAATAAAAGTGAGGAGAGGAACAGGCAACAAAATATTTGGCACGGCAAAAGTCATTTGGCCAGTTTCAAACATCACTACCCCTTCTTTCCCCGACTCTCTCCTACCACCTGCAAGTAAACAAAGTCCTGCTACAAGTTCTTCAGGGAGTCAACCCTCCCCGAGTCTAGACTAGGAAATGTACTAGCTAATACGATTTTAAACACAACTTTGCACGCAGTGTAAACAGTTTTAAAGAAGTATTAGCTAATACAATTTTAATAAGAGTGACCATGCCCAGCTAACATATGAAATTAAATGACACAGTTTCTTGGTCTAGATAAAGCCAGGTTCTCTGCCTGAAGAGGGTCTTCAAAGCCACTCTGCTAATAACTTCAGGAGCTACATGGAACATCACATATGAAATCTTCCAAAACTACAAATATTCATTAGCGGGTGACATACACTCATCGATTGGCTGGCTTGCTTGAAGTGTGCAATTAGGACATATTCAGTATATAGGGCAGCTTGTTTATCTTGATTTTAGAGCTCAGTTATCAAAATAGGAGATCGGCATTTCAGAGCACGCTTGGGCCTACCACTCCCTTGGGCTAATAAAGTTCAGAGACTTTAGACTCCAGAGTAAAGAAATGAATGGCTTCATGCTACACCATTAGAGGTGATGGGGTAATCTCAGCGAGGGTGGTTTAGCCTGTCCTCTTTCCTGAAGAAGGGGCTGCATACATGGCAATATGGAGGTGGGGAGAAATCAAAGGGAAATAGCAGTCCCACGACTAATAATTAATGTTACTTCAGACTCAGAGAGAAACCTGATATCAAAACACTATGTAAATGATGACAAGATTTATGAGCTCTGTTTTATAGACAGGAAAAGTGAGGCACAGGGCACACTGCAAGTAGGCGGTACTCGCTACAGCAAAGCTTCGAGCCCCCTGGTACCTAGGTCACTGCTAGGATTTAAACTCTACATTTGGACAGCACTATATTGTTACTTTCTTTCCTAAATGTGCTTTTCATATGCTTCTAAAATCACCGCTTCTATATTAAAAGGCACTAAATACTAAATAAGTCAAAATTTCATCTCCTTCCCCACCCTAATCCAAAAACTCTAATACTGACTCTGGATTAATATTTTTTGGGTAATCAAATACAAATGAACATCAACCACCATCAACACACTCAAGAGTCCCAAGACAAGAATTACACTTCTCTGCAGGCTGCTTGCCTGGCAAGGTATCACAAACACGTTCTACAGTGAAAGATAAAAAGTCAGTTAAAAGTTGTTTTTGAATCAAAATAGCTGCTCCAGAATGAAGGGGTGTGAGAAAACCCTTGGAATAGATGTGGTAATAAGAGTCTCTATAAATTATAACTAAAGGCTACCACTCCCTTTAAAAAAAAAAAAAAAAGAATAAATGTAAACACTGTGCATCTGGTTGTGTCCAAACTAAGTTCACTTTGGATTTCTTTTGAAATGTTAGCAGGAACTGTATTTCTTTCAAAACTTCAGCATACTTACAACTGAATGCACATATCGATACACCTCTTCATAATGGTAGAGTGAATGAAAACCCCATTTTAATCATTATTCCGGGGCAATCACCCCGCTCACAGCTAGAGATCCAAACCCAAACAGGATGAAAACGAAGTGTCGGCTTGCTTTTAAAGTGCAAATTCTACCAAGATTTTAAGTGTCGCAACAGGTCAGTTGGTTTATAATTGGCTCTAACTGGCATGAACTGTAACACCCTACATCTGGAAAAAAACGAAGCTGCAAGGTGTGAAATGGTTTCCTATCTTTGGAAGTAATTTATCTGATTTCATTCTGATCCTTACGGCTGAAAGCCCCATTGACTGCTTCATATAAACACAGGGAAAAGACATGTGCACCGAAAGGAAATGGCTTTTCAAAAATAGGATATGAACCACAGGGCTGAATGATTGCTATGGGTGATGAGCTCCAAAAAAATGCTGTATCAGTACTTTGAAAGGTCTAGTAAAACATCACAGAAATCTTTGTTTCTCAGAGGCAGAGCTCCAAAGAAGCTGTTTGTCTGCCCAGAGGAAAAAGATCTGAAAAGTCCCAATTCTTTCCTGAAACTATGACCCATTTTCAAGCAAGGAGCAGGAGCTAAAGGGGTCTTCATACGTAGGTAAATGACATCATCGACTGCACTGCCATAACCAAAAGTAGTACAACTCACTTGGATTATTATGACCTACATTATTATCTATTAGTATTTATATTCCTTTATGGAAGTAAGTTCCTCGATGCTAGAAAGCTAAGTGGTGTAACTATTTTATGACTGAAAAAACTCACACCTGGAACTGAGATTATTGCACCAGGAAAAAACAAAATACTCTAAGACATATTGGTAAGAGTGTCAAAACCACCCTGGGGAATTAGGAAGATTTCCATATCGTTTAGATTGTTCACAGATTAGAGGTGATTTTGAAAATTTTATTCCAAGCCTGGAGGAGAATCAGTGTAATTTAAGCTCTGTAACATAGGCTAATTCCCATATTACTTTTAGAAAGCGAAATTTAGTTTTTATCTCTTATGCCCTGCTGAATATTTTATTCTGTGCAAACAAGTCATATTGGCAAATACAAGTTCCACAAATACATGCTATGACCAACTCGTGCAATTTGCAGAGTGACAAAATGTACCAAACCTCCAGCGGAGCCCCCAGCAATTTTGCAAGTGGAAAGACTTCAGTACTTAAACTTGAAATTAAAAAAATATAAATATTTTCATACGGTAAATTGCCTGCAGTGTCATATTCTTCTCTATAAAGGAAAATGAGCTTTGAACACTTATTCCAAGACATTATCCATTTTTATGGACACTGCTTAGTCTCATACAAATGGCACAACTTCCATGTAAGTGTGTTGACCTTCAATGGTGCTCGCTCAACAGCCCATTCTCCATTTCATCACTACAGCAAAACCTCACAAACATCCCTTCCTGGGCAAGTGAGTCTAGTGATTTTTCAGGCATCCTGTCACCTAATTCCATTCACAAG